ATGATAGAGACGTTGGTGAGCAGGTAATGCAGGAAATAAAGAGAAGTAGTGGTCGGAAGCCGAGGGAAGAATCACGTGCACGGCGCTGTGGCAACTGCGGAGAGACTGGTCATAATACGCGCACCTGTAATATTATAGAGGAAGTATCTGAGGAAGAAATTTCTGAATAGTGTTTTTTAATTAGAGGCGTCGTGGTAGAGTTCTCACAATTTCAATCGCGAGTGTAGAAAATTTTGGCCGGTTCGCTTGTTTGGCCGGTTCGCTATACATGCACGTTATCTTTATATTATATTATGCGTTCTTATATATACTCCTATACCCGGCTTACTAAAAAGTCTATATCTACTAGTACGTTATATTAATAGCTTTATATTTATAATAATATAAGTTAAATAATTAAGCTAATTAAATAGAATATATACGTTTATAGTCTTAAATATATAATTATTAGCTAGGTATAATATTATAGTAGATATTCTAAATATACTTACTAATTTAAAGGGTTATAAGTTATTTATATTTATATTTTAACTAATTAAACTTTTTAATTCCTCTTACTACCTCTTTCTACTATTTAAAATAGGAAGGTAGTATATGTTTTTACTAAATAGTAGTAAAATTATAGATCTTAAATTTTTAAGTACTTTATACTAACGTTAGTAGATATCTACTTATTTCTAGTTCCTATAAAGTATACTTATATACTTATTAGATTATAGTATCTAAATTTTACTTTAAATATACTACTACCTATGTCTAAGACCCTAATGGTAACTACTATAAGTACTAGAACTATTCTAGACCTTTAATAAAGTTAGAATTAGTAGTTCTAGATCCTAGTACTTGTAACGAAATACTCAAACTGGCTAACTAAACTTGGCTGGGTGTTCGCTGGTTGGTATGCTATGATAAGAAGAAGACTATCGGGTTGTTCACTTGGAAGTGAACTCGTTACTTGTATCAAAGATGTCAAACAAATATGATAAGATTGATAACTAAGTTGAGCACGAAGCTCCTATCTAATGGCAGACGTGCCAGTCTTATATAGAACCTTCATCCTCAAGTACTATGATCTGGGTAGCCAACTCGCCTATCGAGCTGGCGGTCCGTTTCGCTAGGTCGCCGAGCGATCCAGCGATCCAACTTAATCATGTGACCATAACCAATGGAAATATCGAGCTGGCGGTCCGTTTCGCTAGGTCGCCGAGCGATCCAGCGATCCAACTTAATCATGTGACCATAACCAATGGAAATCCCTGGGTCGCTTAGTTACCCTAAGCGATCCCTATTTGCTATAAGAAACCTGGGTATGCCTGTCGAGGGTTGCGCCTCTTATTATGACAAGTATCACGTGAG